CGACTGGATTCGAACCCAACTTGATCAACTAAATTTGATTGATGAAAAGAGGCTTACTGCTATCTGCCATGGTCAAACGTATCAAAAGCGAATGATCAAGGCTTTTAACAAGAAAGTCAGGCGTCAAGAATATCAAGTCGGAGATTTAGTGATCAAACGCATCATACTGCCGCAAGGTGATCCCAGGGGAAAATGGACTCCCACGTACGAAGGGCCATTTGTGGTTAAGAGAATTTTCTCGGGAGGAGCTATGATCCTAACCACCATGGATGGTGACGACCTTCCTTACCCTGTCAATGCATACATAGTGAAAAGATACTACGCCTAATCAAAGACCCGCTAGGTCGACTGGCCTAGGAAAAAATAAGGGCTTCCCGGCGAACCAAAAGGGTTCGGGAAAAAGTAAGGGATGAAAATGAAAAATTTGTACACCCGACAAGTCGAAAACCCGAAAGGGAGGCTTGGGCAAAAAAGGGTATTCCGGTGGATTGAAAACTCGAAAGGGCAGTCCAGGAAAAAGTTAGGGATTGAAGCGTATCACTATATCTCATTGGATTAACTTGCGACCAGACTTCGGTATCGACTATCAAGCTCAGGTGGCGCCAATCAATCTGATCAACCTTCGGCCAAGTAGCAAAGTGATGAGACGCTTGAAGATATAAAGGAAATAGTAGAGTTGGAACCCAATGGGGTTGTTTCACATAGTTGTTTTTCCTTCTTTTACACAAATTGTATAATTCCTATCTTTCGGCGGTGTTCTCTTACTAGGACGTCAGCCTCCTTGTACAAAACGCCTATTACAGGCCAATTTCAAAATCAATACAAGTTATTTTTACAAAATTTCAATTTGTTTCTTTTTCTTTTTCTGTTTTGTTTTTCAAGAACTTCCAATGATTTATTTTTGATATATGCATTTGAAAATGATTGCTGCTCATAAATATTTACATAAGGGACAAAAGACAATTACTCGTAATTCCAGAAACAGGGAAAATAATAAGTGCCAAACTCAAAGGTTCCTCTGCCCAGCAGGTATCGGGATAGAGCTATGCTTGGGAACATGATCATTGGTATACGCACTCCCCACGGAGTAAAAGTATCCAAAGGCATTGATGTCAGTTTTCCCAAAACAGGATATAATTATCCCTAGTCGAGGTTCGTAATTGCAAGCGAGTCAATAAATCTTATTCCCCAAGCAGAGTTTATTTCTCCAACAGAGCTCATCACTTCCAGCAAAGAAATTTCATCCACAGCTAAATTTGTTCCTTCAGATCAGCAGGTCTACCAAACAGAGTATCTCTTCCGCCAAAGTTTGGTCCCCGCAGAGTTATTTCTCCAGTATCTCTTCCCGACAGAATATTCGCAAATATCCAGCAACCGTCAGAGATTTGTTTTCCCAGACACGAGCATACCCCGACAACATTTCATGAACATACATCATGACAGACGCATACATATCATATACAACATAATCTCATTTATTTTGAGAACATCATCTCGCCCTGAATTTCATGCATCGCATATAACTAACCCTGATATTTTTTTAGGAAAAGACGATTAGCTTCAATGAATCCAGCAGTTATACAGATCACATCTACAGACAACTAATAGAAACTCAGTTCCCGAAATCAAACGGGTCAACTAATCTACATTATCATATCAAAGTAACCTTACCCCGGTTCATCCTGAAGTTTTACACAAACTTATAACCTTACCCTGGTTCATCCTGAAGTTTTACACAAACTTATAACCCTACCCCGGTTCATCCTGAAGTTTTACACAAACTTATAACCTTACCCCAGTTCATCCTGAAGTTTTACACAAACTTATAACCCTACCCTAGTTCATCCTGAAGTTTTACACAAACTTATAACCTTACCCCGGTTCATCCTGAAGTTTTACACAAACTTATAACCTTACCCCGGTTCCTTCTGAAGTTTCACTCAGACTTATCCTGAAGCAACCTTACCTAGGTTCCTTCTCGGTTCAGATGCAGTTTTACCCAAACTCCTCACTAAGCAACCTTACCCAGGTTCCTTCTCAGTTCAGATGCAGTTTTACCCAAACTCCTCACAAAGCAACCTTACCCAGGTTCCTTCTCAGTTCTGATGCAGTTTTACCCAAACTCCTCACAAAGCAACCCTACTCAGGTTCCTTCTCACAACCCTACTATCCAGGCTTTTCATATCAAAGTAACCCTACTACCCAAGTTCCTTCTCACAGCCCTATTATCCAATCTTTTCATATCGAAGTAACCCTACTACCCAGGTTCCTTCTCACAACCCTACTATCCAGGCTTTTCATATCAAAGTAACCCTACTACCCAAGTTCCTTCTCACAGCCCTACTATTCAGGCTTTTCATATCGAAGTAACCCTACTATCCAGGTTCCTTCTCATAACCTTACTATCCAGGTTACTTCTCTCTTATCTCCAAACAACAGCCCACAACACTGTAAGACCAGGACCTAATCGAACACGATTGGTTTCGCATGTCCCCAATAGAGTAACGGACAACTGAAGCTCCTAAAACTCTATTTCTCGAGACATATACCAACATTCCTCAGCAGATTTCTCCTCAACGACAGGAGCAGGGACTCCCGTCAAAGGAATATCTCAGGAAATCCACATTCTCTAGATGGCATCTTTAAGCCCATCTCCGACAATTCTCCGTCGCATCCAGGATGGATCTTTAAGCCCATCTCCAGAAATCTTCCATTATCGACCTCTAAATGGAATTTGTAAGCCCGTTCCCGATATCACAAATCAAGTACCACTTCATGCGAGTGTAAATTTCTGGGCACTCTAGTGTTCAATCATCTTCCACCTTCAGATCACGAAAGGCAGAGCAGCCAATCTACATCCTCAGGTTTAAGAAGATTGAACAGGGGCAGCTGTTGTACCCCAAAATTTTCCCTCCCATTTTACTCAACAAATGTCAAGTGAGGTCCTCAAGTTGCTCAAGGAAGCCCAAGAGTTGACCAGACAAGCTCTCTCCTAAGGCAGTGTACCTCCAATTAGGGTTTCTATTTTCATTAAGATAGGAGAACCAAAAAGGCCTCATATTCTATCCATGGTCTTAATATGTCCTCAAGACCCTACATATCAAGTTTCATTCCTTGCACAAGAAGTTTGCCCAGCCAACTGCTCAGATGCTTGAGAATCGACTATATTAGGTCAAAAGTCAATTGTGACCCACATACAGTCAAAATTCAAGATTTTTGGTCAACATCAACATTTTGAAGTGACTTTCATCATTTGATCAAGGGTTGTCCATGATTCCCCAAGGAATGCTCCAAATTCATCAAAACCCAAAAGTTGCTAAATTAGGGTTTTGTAGGAAAAGTCAACCCAACTTTGACCAAGCATAACTTCTTCATACTTTATCAGAAATTTTCCATCCAAGGCTCATTTTGAATAGGATGCGATTCCCTACAATTCATCTTCATCCCTCAAGTTCAAAATATGCACTCATCAAAAGATATGAATTTTTACATTATAGGTCCTTTTGAAAAGTCAGCAAAAACACCTTTTGGGTCAAAGCTTCATACATGAACATGGAAGATCCAATTGAGATGAAAACAAAAGGGTTGTTTAGGGGACATCCTAAGCTTTCTAAAAAGTCTAAGAACACCCTCCTAGGGTAAAAATTGAGAGAGTTGTGCATTGTCAAAGTTGGCAATTTTTGGAAAATTGTCAAAAGTCAACATTGATCAAATTTGCATTTTTTCCAAAGAGGCCCATGTTTTCTTGCTTGAAACATGTTTCTAATAGGACCCAAGACCCCTGAGATTTTCCACCTATTATTTTATTACTTTTATCATTTATTTTGATTTTTTATTCATTTAAATCAAAATAAATCAAATTAAATGGTAAAATAATGAAATCAAATCAAATTTGTGGATTTTTGTGCACATTTGGAGTCTATGTACAGCTAGCATGATGATCAATTCATGCAAGACTCATTAGGGTGGGAAAATATTGGATTGAAGCTTGTTTTAGAAAGATATCATACATGAAGCAAATCAAATCCAATTTCCATTATTTCTCAAGATTCATACTAATTTTATTAACCTAATTCAGTCTACTATATGTATACAACAATTGCAGATCAAAAGACAGGGGTTGCAGTCGTGAAAAGGCCAAAGCAAACTCAAAATTTTTGACAAAAAAGTGAGGTTCAAATTCTGGGAATAGAGGGCTATTCAAGGGGATTCAAAGTCAGAAATCAATTCCTTGGCATCTCAGGAAGCATTCCCAACCATTTGTAGGCTTCAAAACATCAAGAATCCTCGCATAGAAGTATCACGGTTTGCATCCCAAACTCAAATTCGATTTATATGTTTTACGCATTATAAATTCATTCTATCCATATATTCTTGTTCATAATCGTGTTTGCAAGCTAACTGAATACTTTAATTGCGTTTTTGAAGCCTATACATGTTTTTGCCATTGTTAGGGTTTGTATGTGCAGATTAGGGGTTTTGTCCACGGGTTAAATTGGCCAGCAAAAGGGGTACCATGATGTTCACAAGATCAAAACGAATTGATCTATATAATTAGATGCTATTTATCTTGCGTATTGTGGATGTTTGAGTTTCACAAGTTTGTAGCTACAAACCTTTGTCTGTAGGTAAAAGTGCCATAGCCTAAAACGACGGAGAAAGGAAGAAGACGACTATGTGTCATCCAACCATTCGTCCGTTTGAATTTCACCCGCTTTTCATATACTTTCAATTAGCATTTTACTTTCGAATAAATAACATAGCACAATTGGTAAGGAAGAAATACTGACAATCAGAAGGTCACACACTGTTTTTTTTATATAGTCATGTTTATGTCTTAACCAATCACCATTGTACACAACATAATAATATACAAACAAAAAAAAACTTTGTTTTATGAAAGCCAAAGAAAAACACCATTACAGGTAGTCTTCTTTACAGTAGATTAACCTTCCCCACCCTTTGCATCCATGATCTCCCTGTATAATCTAAATTATACTTCAAAAATTACTAACAGCTAAACCAACACAAACAGTGTCTTCTTTGATTCCAGATATTGGGCGGCTACTCACATCACCTGTAGATCCGCCACGCAGCAACATAATCACATTACAACGATACATCTTCAAGCAAGTTTTTTTTTTGCAGGAAAAGATGAAGATTGGAGTAAATTGAAATCGACGAAATCTCCTCCTCCAACCCCTTCCATCCGTAGCGCCGAAGTCGAAGCCGCTCACCCATGCAATCATCGGCCATCTCCGACTGGTCTCCAATAACCGCGATCCAAACCGTGCCGGTACCTCCGTGCACCATTCGTGAAATCGACAGTCACCTATCATCGACGCACAAATTCAGCCAACTGCTCCCAGCTACCACTGGTCGCCAACCACCATGCACCAACCTCCATCGATTTACCCTAAACACTTCCGCTCGCGACCGTCGTTCCAGGAAAAGTTGTTGTTGTAGATGAAAGAAGAGAATTGAAGAAGAACAAATCGTGCAGATTGGATATGAAAGCTTTTCCCCGTTGTTTTTATTATTCATGAGAGAGAAGGAGAAAAGAAGAAACATGAGATCTGAATAGTTTTCCTTTCTTCTTGTTTATTATCTACTTAATATTTTTTATTATTTAATCAATGGGACAAATGTCAAGTTGCCATTCGCAGAGTAAAAGGTGGAAAAGTAAAAAATGATAAAAAAAATCTCTTCCTTGAAACTACCAGCCGCCCCATACTTATCCTTGATGTAACTTTCATATTTTTCTTCTTTTTGTTTTTTATATTATGTTTGTAAATTAAGGTTCTATTAATGGCATGGGCTTGGGATTTTTGGGCCCTTCTCTTTCTATTCACAACTCATAATTCAAACTTAGCACCTCCTATGATATAGATTTAGTTTTAATTAGTTAATTATTTTTAAGTTAATTAAATAATTAATTAGATCCTTTTGTTCGTTAAAAATACAGGTTGCATTTCTAATTAGGGTCAATTTTTTGGATTAATTAAATCACTAACTTGTATACAAATCAAATATTTTTTTATCAAATTAATTCAATAAGGGTGTTAAAACTCACGCAATTCTAAGTATTTCATTCGCGAGCGACACGTGGCCAATATCTGGCCACGTGAGGAGGAGACTATATCAGACTTCCCCCGCTCTTTATCTTACCAAATACTCCATCTGCAATCGACACATGACCAATATCTGGTCACGTGAGGAGGAGACTATATCAGACTCCCCACCTTACGTCTCAAAACAGCTAACCACCAATTACACACTACATTTTCTACTAACATAACAAAAACCTAAGATATCTTCGAAAAAGGATTAAGGCGAATTACTTTCAAAATTAATTGCGAACTGCGTCTACAATCACTCACTTTTCAAAACCCAAACAAGGTTCAAGGATAAATTTGAAAGCAATTCAATGCGATCCTATAAAAAACACCAACCCATACGAACTACGAATTGGGACTCTGATTCCTCATAAGAGGATACGTAGGCACGCGATCTAAAATCGTGGCGAGTCTTGCTAATTAAAACTTAAAATCCTGTTTATCCCAAACCTAAACCTAGAGCTTAATATCCTTGTGAACAAGGTGGATGAAAGGTGTCTAACATCTTCCTTTTGTCTAATTGATTCCGTAGCCTAGAATCTTTGTCTGCGAATTAGGGTTTTCTGTTAGATTCTCTTCCCTAAGATAAAAACTAATAGTGGCGACTCTTGATTTAAAAAACCGGTCGCAACACCCCTGCTTCACTTATACATCCCCTGGCCCATTTTATTTTATTTTCTTATTTTCATTTTTTTTTATTTTCTTAATTATTTTTCTAATACTAAAAAAATCATAAAAAATATAAAAATAGTAGATTTATATTTTAACATAGTTTATTTATTTTTTCTCACACAAAAATTATTTTATTTAATCATACTTTATTTTATTTTGACTAATTGTTTTGTAAGTTTAATTAAAAAACTAGGTTTTTATTTATTTTCTTTTACACCAATTAAAATATATTATTTTAATATAAAAAAGGCCAAAAATATTTTATAATACTATAAATTATTTTCAAGACAAAAATACAAAAAAAAAATACTTTTCTTAAACTTAATTTATTTTTAATAAATTAATAGATTTAGGGTTTTATTTAAAATCTTTTCTTAGTAAATTTAGGTTTTACTTTTAATTAATTATTTTCTTTTAATTAATTAGGTTAAAACAAATTCCCTTTTCCTAAAAAATCCAAACAAAAATATCCATTTTCTTCACATTTGCATTCTTATATATTTATTCATTATGTACATTATTTATTTCAATTCTTGTATAAATTCAATATGATTATAATAGATTAATTAGGTTTATTTTCTTGCAATCCCCATTTATAATTTGTACACCCCCTCCCACAAGTATTGTAATAGCGTAGTAAATTTTAAATTCCGCAATTTATCGCTTTATATACAATTGCTAGTAATTAGGGTTTGTATGGAAAGAATAAAACCAATGCTTAGAAAATCCTAATCAAAGACAAAACTAAGCATGAAAAAACAATACACTTGCACACAAGCCCCCTAGGGTAAATCCACTTGGCTGCCTTACAAAATAGTCATGTTATGCATGTGAGATGTCTTAGCAAAAAGCAATAAAAAATACAAGATCATAGTCCCTCGATGACGCTATCTATGATGCCTTTCAAAATGATATTAGTACCTAAAGAAAATACTAAGATATCTTACAACATTGCTAATCATAGTTATACGATGACCCACGCCCGTCCCGTTTACATCCAAAGATAGGGTTACTTACCAAATGAATGGTAAGATAACAATGTCAAAGGAAAAGGAAATGAACATGAAAGACTTTTGAGTAGGTAGAATGCTCCTAATTACTTTCTCCCTTTCAAAACAAAACATCCTTGCTATTTTTCAAAACAAACACCTACACTTTCAAAAACATCTTACAAAACTTGAAAACATTTTCAAAAGATCAAACACTTTGTATACATTCTTACGAACGAGAATCATTACAAAGTTTGCCTAAACAATGGCCTCTTTACAAAATACTTTCAAAAACCACACAAAGCACAATTTCAAACAAAAGCAAGTGATCTAGCAAGTAACTAAGAGCCCATGGAAAACCATGGATGGAAAGGGTGCTAATACCTTCCCTTTTCATAATCTACCCCCCGAACTCAAGAAATAATCTCAAAGGTCTTTTCTGTGATTTTTTACCTTTCCTTTTGGATAAAAGAAAAGTCGGTGACGACTCTTGCTAACCTCAACATTTGCGATCAAACGCAAAACCTTCAAGTCAGTTCTCCCACCGTATCAGTGTTAGCCTATTTAAAACTATGACAAATTTTGAGATCATCCTAGTTAAAATCTCAAGAGGCTATTTGGTTATCCTGTTAAACCAATTGAGCTCATATATATTTTGGAACTTGAAGACTAACTGCTACAAGACCAGTGTTCGTGGAGAGAAGACCAACCACTTTAATCTACAGTTGGGAAGAAAGCTTGGCCACTTTGATCTCAATAATTTATTGGAAAAGATGCAAACATCTATATATATTATCTTGTAATATTATGGTTGTAGGACAATCATTATTTCCTTGTATAAGGGGGGTCATGAGTCTTTCCTACTAAAAGCTCTCAAGTATTATTTGAAACTCTCAAGACCAAGCCTTGGGGAGAAGAGTAGGTCCTTTTTATTTTTTACTGAACCTCTTTAATTCCAGGCGTCTTTCTTCTTCCTTTAACTTTTTAATTTCTGCACTTTAAACATTTTATTTCAACTGCTTAGACTTAGAAAATATTTTAAATCCTTGATTAAATTGCCAAATTTTTTTAAAACTCATGTTTTTCCAAACCACACAATTCACCCCCCTCTTGTGCGTGAAGTCTCAAGTCCAACAATCATCACAAACAACATGCTTTACATCTTACAGCTACTATGATATAATCTCTCCAGAAATCAAAACCTAGAAGGAGCCCCTCAGGTGGCTTCTAAATTCTTTAAGGCATCTTTTGGGTCATCTCCTAGATAGTTTACCATCATCTCTAGTGCATCATCTTAGTCAATCATGCCTAGTCTAATAGTCTCCCCTATCGATAGATGCAATAGGCACGTGAAATCTCCAGTGTGATAGACATCTCACCATATGGAGATGAAAAGATGAAGTCTCTGAGCTCCATATCTTTATAAATGCATACAACATACCACGGTTAATTGTAACATAACCGATCCTACAAAAGTCTCTTAGCACAGATAGCAGCATCACATCCTAAAACCATAACTTATCAGGCTACGGCAGACCAATAATCTTCCGGCCATGTTTGATGATTTTTAAAGCATCACGGTCCTGTAGAAAAATATTTCATCGTCAGAAAATTCAAATATTATAACAAACATGTTTTTAAAGAATGAGTATAATTTAATTTTACCTTTCTGTACCAAACATGTATGGAAGTATAGTTCGGGTATAAAGGCAACAATGATAGTTCAAACGAGTCTTCTCCAAACCCCTCGGGTGTCCTACTATGTTTTAGGTGCCTGTGAATCCTCGGGTTCTCGTGGAGCCTGAGGTTCCAGTGGTGCATTGGGTGCCTGCGGAGCCTCGAGTGCCTAAGGGGTTAACACTTGTATTTTACGGAAAGACGGATGCAGATATGCATGAAATACAAAAGTTGACACATCGCATCAATCGGGTTAAAAACAATTGGTGCATGTGAGGATTGGGCTCTTTCCCTCTGAACCGATGCATTTTGCATAACTCTATCGTGCCTCAATCTATCTTGCTTATCAACCATAATGCCTATAAGTAAACCCCACAAGCATTACACTGATGAAACACAATAAGGTCAAACCAAAAAATGCAGACTGATGAATTCCAGTGATATATCTCAGGATTCTGGAAATCAAAACATTGAAATTTTTTGGAGAAACATCTTCGTCATGTTCTGCAACTCAGATGAACAATAACAAAGAAAATAAAATTCATCCCAACATCCAAAATAATACATTGATCATTTAAACTACATATCAAACACATTTCTCATTTAAATAACATAACTAAACTACATATTACATAACCTAATGATCAATTTACACAACATAGAAATTAAAAAAGTATAGAAAAATTTAAAACTTACCAAATGTGAGTTTATTTTTATGTTGAGTTAGCTCTTTAATTGATTTGATATGGATGACAAAAGCTTTGAAGTGAGTTAAATGAGTTTTAAAAAATGTGAGTTAAGAGAGTTTGAGACTTGAGAGATTTTGAAACTTTTTAGCATTTTATTTTGAAAGAGTATTTTGAGAAGTGGGGAATGAGAAATGTTTGTCACGTTTTTTATTAACAACGCTTGGAGATGCATCTCCGTAAGTTACATGAAAATGCATTTTTGTAACTTTTTGACTTAGTCTTAGGGTCTACTTCAGGAACGAATGTGTTTAGGATGCTTCCGAAGATGCATTTCCAAAGTCTAAGTGTAATTTTTTTTACGAGGGTGAAGAAACATTCCTTAAGTGCGTTAAGAAGTTTCCAAAAAGAATGGGTTGGCCCATAATTTGTTGGGTTTACAATTTGGGAATTTATTTTTCCACCACTATGTTTTCTAGGAGGCCTTTGGCAAAAAAGCTATAAAAAAAAAACCCAGACTCTTAATGTGCATATTCGAACTCACCTTATTTGTAAATAAAAGGTGGCCTCGTATGTGCATATCCGAAGTCATTTTTTTGTCAAGAAAAGGTGACTTCAGATGTGCATATCCAAAGTCATTTAAATATTAAGCGAACAGACTACTCCACGCTTCTGTTCTGCTTTGTTAAATAAACTCAAAAACCATTTTCTCCAATCTTCAAATTTCCACTCATTTGAACTCATTTTAACTCATTGCAACACTGTTTGAAGAAGCAAAAGCTCCATTGAAGTCTTTTCTACTCATCTCCAAAGCTCCAAATTTGTGTAAGTTTTCTCTATTTCCATTTGATTCACTTTGCAATGCTATAATAAGTTAATAGGTTAGTTAGAATCAATTACAATGTGTAGGTTGATGTTAGAGTAGTTAAATGTGGATGTTTGGGTGAACAAATAAGGTTTTTGGATGATTTAGATCAAGAAGATGAAGTTGTTCGAAAATGGATGTTCGCAGGTGGTTTCAGATGTGCATATCTGAAATCCCCTTTGACCAGTTTCGAATATGCACATTTGAAATGTTGCTTGAGTTGAATTTTTTTCCTTTTTTCAAACTTGTTTCCTTCCCTTCCCTCTTATTAACGATTATTATTTTGTAGGAAAATGGCTGACAACCCAAACCCGAACAACAAATTGAGACAAGGCAGGCCAATTCAAACTGCCTCTGCTCGGTGTGAGAGAGTTGAGCAGCTAACCAGAACCCGAGGACGGGGTCAGGTTCTGCGGGAGGATGTTGTTGGAGGATCCACTTCTAAACCGAGGAATCACCTGTCTCAGGCGTCATCCTCTCATGCACAAAAGTAAATACCCGATGAGGATGAAGTGCCCGAGTAGGTTGAGGTACCCGAGAAAGCTATACATGGAGCAACAATGGAGTATGCAAACCTCAACTATCTAGGAGGGCCTTCTGACGACTATCTCTTGTTCTACTACAATGATCATTCTGCTCGGCATGATTGGGAGGGAGAGGTATATTTTTTATTTCACTTTTCATTTTAACGGTTTATGCATAAATATTATTTTAACGACTAACATTGAGGTTATTTTTTGTAATTACAGGAACAATTTCCCATAAAGTCTATGAACCACTCGCAAAAAATATTTAATCTATTTAAACCTATAGCGGATTGGTTCAATGATGTTGTTGTTGGATCCGGACTTGCCGGACTATGTGGTATTGATTATGTTACTATAAGCCACGACATGTAGGGGCCATTTGCCAAGAGATGACACAAGGAGACGTCGTCTTTCCACTTTCTAATTGGGGAAATGATGATCACACTTGATGGCGGGGTATGCTTGCTCCACCTACCTATCAGAGAGAGGTTACTCAACCATTCCCGGGTATCATGTGTTGAGGCGGTTGAATGGATGGTCGAACATCTAGGAATGCAACCAGAAAAGGCAGCAAGAGAGTGCAGATCAACTAATAGGTCACATGTCAAGTTCTCCACCTTGAGCAAACTATATGAACTACACCTGGTTGCGACAACAAAGGCCGAGGATGAGCGTGATGAGCTTTTTGTTCAGTACTATCGAGATTGTGCTTTGCGATGTTATTTCATGTTTTTGGTTGGCACGTCCCTCTTTATGTACAAAAGTGCAACCTACGTGGATGTGACATACCTTCGGTATTTTATGAATTTGAGTACAGTTCATGAGTGGAACTAGGGGCGGCCATTTTGGTATACCTCTACCAGAAGCTGAATGTGGCTTTAAACTAGAGGACGAGGCAGCTGACTGGCTCTTGCACACTTCTCACTGTACCTTTCATTCCAACTATTATATTTAATTTGTTATTAATAATTTGTACTTACATATTCTATGATTCGTGTTTCATAGCTGGATCATCTCTCACTTTTACCGCATTCATGGCTTCGAGTGTGATCTGGAATATAATGATTACATATAGAGGGATGAAAAGTATATCCTCCACAGAGGGAATCATGATGTGTTGCCTTACCGTGTGCATCTTGATCATACTAACCATGATGACATGACAGACGCCGTTCGAGGAACACAAGGATGTTGTCTCCTTCGACCCCATCTCATTATACTCCGGGTGACTAGCATGTGAGTCGAATATTATAGCCAAGTATCTTCCAGAGCGCTGCATCCAACACTTTGGCTTTGCGCAGATGGTTTTGGACGTCAACCTAGGCCAACTCATGAGGAGCTCTTGGAGAATCAGCAGGCCGAAGATGACCATGTCACTGTTGTCTTGTTGATATGTCAACAGATACACACACTTGGGCAAGAGGCATTGGATAGAGGGATCATCGATAGGGGCGGTCTTAGGCGGTGATCATCATTGAGAAGATGGTTGGAGAGGCAACCAATGTGGCGGGATATAGGAGGCAGAGGAGGTCACATAGGGTTAACATTAGACATACACAATAGCAGTAACCTATGTTATTTTATTTTTATTTTTACCAATGTAATATTTTGACATTACACACTTTCTGAATAACTGATGTATTATATTTCTCTATTTCTGAACATCTAATCTAATTGTTAATTTCGTTTCATTTTTCATCCAAATGTATCATTTTATGTTTGCCCGTTTATTAAGTAGTGGTATTAATAATGTTTTAAACAAAAATGGTACAATCAGACAAAGTTTCGGATATAGATATCTAAAATTTTTGTTTTCATATACGTAGGGTGATTTCAGATATGCATATCCGAAACACACAAATTAATACGTTCGAATATGTATATTCGAAAGTTATTTTCTATTTCAGAGATATTTTTTATCATATATGGGGGTGATTTAAGAAATTCCCTTACAATTTAGCGGGCTGGATGAGCCCACTTAAGTATGTCTTGGCCCAAAGTTTTCAAGGAAATGGAAGAAAAAAAAGAAAGGAAAAGAAGAGAAGAAAAGAAAAGAGAGTGGAAGATACGAAATTGAAGAGAAGGAGTTGAAAGTTGGAAATCGAAATCGAAATCGAAAATCAAAATGCCTGTGATGGAGAAGCTGAAGATGTTCATTGTTCAAGAACCAGTTGTCGCTGCTTCATGTGCCATCGCCGGTTTTGGTATCTCTCTAAACCCTAATCTTAACCTTCCTCTTGTCAATAATTTCATATATAATACTCGTTTACTGCTAAAATTAGGGTTAAGTGTTGATTTATTTACCTTCCCATTACACAATTGGGGTTTTCCGATTACTGGCTGCAATTCGATGTGCCAAAAATGATAGAAATCTATCACTTTGATTTTGAACATTCGAGATCTTGTTTGGCAAGTATCATTCTGATTAAACGGTTGAAAACACTGTTTTGTGCACCTAACTGCCTGAATAGCCTACGCTTTTATTTGTTAAGGTTACATTACTGTCGATTTGTAGCACCGGAAAAAAGTGTATCCATGTCAGTGTTAGTGTTAGAAACTAACACTGACACTTGTGATTATGATTAATTTATTTATTTTTCAAATTATTACCGGCGTCACATCGACGTGTGAGTGTCGGTGTTGTGTTTTTGGTGTCCGTGCTTCATAGTTATGGATAAGACCAAATTTCAATTTGTTCATTGATTATGGGCGAGATCCTCTCAATTTTTCAAAAGTAATGAGGCGTGAGTCCAAACCCTTAGATCATAAGATTAGAAATGATAATATTAGAGAGTGTTGGGGAAGTAGTTATAGTAAAAAAAAATGATAGAAAATAGCTTTAGGTGGTTTGGACATGTAGAATACACGTAGATTTTGTGGTAAGGAGAGTATATAAGATTGAGAGGAGTCAAACATCTAGAGGTAGAGGAAGACCTAGAAAAATTATAAGAGAAGTTATTTAGAAAGATTTCGAGATTAACAATATTGGTAGAAGCATAATTTTGGATTGAACATTATGGTAGAAGTTGATCTATATAGTTGATCCCACTTAATCACTTAATGGTAAGGCTGGATTGTTGTTGTATAGTCCCCCATATTTTATTTTTCAAAGGTCTAGATTCCATTGGACCCTTTGTTTACCGGAGAGGATCCAGTCCAATGAAATGGAAAGCTCTGTTTACTTGTGTATAAAGTCACCTAAATGCTTAATGTATGTCATGTTTTAACAATATGTGCCTATATTCAAATAAAACTATAGTAATAAAACTCTCCATTTCTTTTGAGAAATGGAAAGGAACCCTACTCATTGATTATCTTGTTTAAAATAGGGCTATAAGTAACATCAAGGAGAGTTTACGATTCAGCTTAAAATTAGATTTATTATACGGTCAACACGTTTCTAGTTGGATATAGCTGTTTTCTATTGGCATGCATTTTACTTACTATGAAAAATTTTCTGCAGGCCTTTTTCTTCCTGCTGTTGTGAGGCCTATTCTGGACTCATATCAAACAACCGAGCAACCTCCTCAACCTGCTTTGAGTGATGTGAGTGTTTCTTTTCGCTTTAACTTTGCAGTTTTGTTTTGAAACTGAATAATATGTATGAAAAAATTAAATATTTAATGTCATTATGTGGGGTAACATTACCTATACTCCCTTCACTGTCAAAAAACTCTGTTTTCTTATGTAATATCTTCAAATCCAAAAGTCCAGATTGCCATCTTCTGATTTTTTACATTGTTAGGAGAGAGAGATTACCCAGTTCCCTTCCTTATGAGTTTCTTGTAATAGATGCAAACCCACCATTAGTTGCACAAATAGTCCTTTTGAACGAGTTTTAGATGTGCTCCCTAGCAATGTAGCCAAGCACAAGATCTTAAGTAGGATCAACCGGCTTGTGAAAGATCGTAAAATTCGGATTGTTAGCATGTCAGATAAGATCCTACTGAAGGGAAAAATGGTAATTTCATACATATACACACACATAATACATGCCCAGGAAAAAGTCCCAGCACATTCTTTTTTACAATCTTACTTCGTTCTTGACCATGCCGGCAACGAAAACGATCTTTCTCTGACCGTAACACTCTCAAGCATCCTTAGCACGTAAGATCTTACGAGCATACGATCCAGCACTAGATCTTGACTACACTGCAACCTAGTCCTTACTCCCCACCCTCAAAAGAGGCAATCGTGTACATTTATGGTTTCCTTTCCTGATATTGGTGTTCTGCCTTATTGCAGGTGGTTAAAGGTATGGCTGGTAAAAAGTAGGCTGATTTTACTGGAGATACTAGTGGATAATTGCCAAAATCTCTGCTTGAATTTTTCTTTTTCCGTTCTGTGAGTAATAAAAGTACCTAGTTACAAAACATTTGATTGAGCATCAATTTGTTACAATCTATCAGTTCCAGATTCATCCAGAGGCTTCATTTCATGTTTAGGTTAAGTGTTTGGTTGAATGTCAAGTTTATTCTGCCCCCTTATTGATTTTGTCTCTAATATCAAATGCACTTTCTGAATTGTTCCTCTTGTGACAATATAAAGGAGTTTTGTTAAGCTGACTTGAGACACAAGTACTTTCTTATGAATTTTACATACAAAATCAAAATTGAGTAAACGATTGCTGGTCTCTCTTTTCACTACTAAAATAAAACTTTAGCACTAAAAAGTGAAGTACATAAGTGGTGCAGACGGGCTTATATGTAGTTATTGCATGAATGAGCATAAATATATTTCACATTGAATTAAAAAACATTTAGTATGTTTTCATAATTATTGTATTGAATAGAGATACCTTGTATTTTGAGATAAATGTATTTCACGTTGAATAAAAAAAACATCTAGTATGTTGTCATAACTATTGTATGGAATTTAAACTTAAATTGTTAAAAATGGGAGATAATCTATAAAATTCAAATGTAATTTAGCCTCCAATTTAAGTGTCTGTTATTGTTATTAGAAGTATATGTGAGCTGTAGTCAATTCAATGGTGTATTACAATATGGAAAAAATATTTGTTCATAAACTATCTATGTTATTCACAACGCACTATGCTAAGAAATCAATAGTGGTTGAAATTTGCACTTGTTATTTTGCTCTAATAAAGACAAGCACGAAAAGCAAAAGGAATGGAAGAGGGGAAGGAAATGAGAAAAGAGACATGATTATAAATTTGAAAATCTTGTACAACTTATCACCATCCCACTAGAAAACAATATGAACTAAACCCCACACACTTTTTTTTTTACAGTAGTGATGCAACAGAATAAGCTGGTTGTGTTGTGTCTTCTACTGTAATATAGTACTGATGATGTAGTTGATTTTAACCAACCACCAAAATCTCAATGCTTAAGGCTACTTCCATCTTTCTTCTTCTTCTTCTTCTGCTTTTTTTCCCTCCATTGAAGTGTAACCACCTGCTTCATCCCCTCACGAATGCTTGTCTGCAAATTCAAACTTAATCAAAGTCTTCTCAACTTTTTAGAGGTCCTATGTAAATAGTTATGGTTTAACAATGACAAAACTAATAAAGATCCTATTTAACCACGACATACATTTTATGAGATTTTATGTAGCCAAAGTTTATTCGTGACAAATTTTGGGTTCTATGTGACAGCGACGATCCTGAACTTATTAAATGAATAAAAAGATGTAGCTTACCCAGACACGAGCCTTTCCATGATGAGAGAAGCTGGAAGAACTCCCAGAACGTTTCATCATCTTGTTGTTGTGAGTGACAGGAGTCTCTGCAATGCCAGTAGAAGAAGATGGAAAGACATGACTACCCCCAGTGACCTGATCTCTTTTGACATTTTTTCTCCATGAACCAAACCAACCACTGTCTCCTTTGAGAAGAATATTCTTAGTACCAGAAGAACCATAGCAATTGGTGTTGTTTTCTATTCTAAAAGACGGTGACTGGAACCTGTTGCTGGTTACATAAGGACCCTGCTGCAAGAAGGTGGGTGAAGGTAACGCTAACAACCTTGGAGGAAGCTCCAAACTCTTGTCAGTTGGATTGACGTAGGTGACAAGTGCATTACATATCTTTGGTTTTCCAGGTTCTTGCTCCCATCGAAACGGTACTGAACCTGAGGTTTGCAGCGGTGGAGTCACCGTCCCCGATCTCTCGGGAGACGACGACTTCATCTGCATTGCTGATGGAGTAGAGAACAAAGGAAGCCTTGGTATGCTGCTATGTTGATTTCCCTCAGAACCCATCACACACTCAAAGAAACAAAGAGTTCGTGTAAGGAAGAGAGAAAATGATGATTTGGTGAGTGAGTATTATGCGAATGATTCATATAGCTGAAATGGATTTGCAAAAGAGGAAAGTGTGGATATATGATTAGGTGAAAATACAAAATACGTATGGTATGATACTTACTGTTTTGTTTTATAATAAGGTGCAAAATGACATTATCAATTCCATTATATGCATCATGACACCCTTCTTTTATAAAAATAATAATAACAACAACAACTATAGCATATTTGTCTCGTGCCAAAACTTTAGGGACTGATAACATTTTCCATCATTTCAAAAGTAACAAAAAGAAGCCACTCAATTAGACTACTATCAAGTCCATTTTACAAACTGACAAAAATTCTGCACTATTTTGTCGGCATACTCTAGGGACTCATAAGTGATTATTTCTTAGTCTGCCATATTGATTTGGCATCCAAAGCTTATAGCTTTAATGTGAATCATTCCATCTCAATAGATACTTTTGTCTGGGAGAGTTGCCAACATCTAACTTATTTGATAATGATTTAGTGATTTGCATCACATAAAAAAAAAGAGAGACAAATAAAATGAAAGACAATGCTTTGTAGTGAGAGAGAAACACAAGATTACATTAACTTTGGCGTCTCAAAGTTAATTAAAAATTCACGTATACAACTCTTGAGTTCGAACTCAATAGTGTTAACAACCGGCCTTTGACATTTGAAATAGGACTTCTAAGTTTCTTACATGATTTTTTCTTTGATAGTTCTCATACAATTTTTTCTTTGATAATTTTCTTTTTTTCTTCATTATGAACTTGAATAAGAAGATTCGGCTTTTTCTTTCTAAAAAAACAAGCTGGGCTTTTTAAGAGGTTTAGTTTGAGACTTTGTTCCAGCCATCCTCCAGTTATACCTGAGACACTCTCTTATTTTTGTATAGACCAAAATGTCTTTCATTATTTATCAATTTCAAAATTATAGTTCGTCAAAAATAATTAACTCTAATTGAAGTTGTAATTTTCGAAATTTTTGGTAATGATAGCAAAAAATCCAATATGATTTTTTTCGAAATTGGAGAAAACTTTGTATTTTACAGCATTTTGAAAATATCTTCTAACTTGTAGAAATATTTTTATCAGAAGTTCTAATTAGTTATATATAGAAGAAAACATATCTTTGAGATTCTGAAATCTTCACAATGATTCTTTTATCTGAGTGCTCTCCATTCTGGTTTTGAATTTAACTTGTCCTTGATACAACTTCTGATCAACTTGTCATGTCTTTGAATATTTTCCATCTGTCTTTAACCTTTTCTTAAATTTAAGCTTTTCTCTTAAATACAACTTGTGATTTACTTCTTTCTTCTTATGCTTTCTTCAGAGCAGTCTTTCAGAAGTTTTGAATTATCTTCATATTGGTTCCTCTTATTCTCAGTTTTATGATTTGAGAAGAGTAATCTTCTTCTTAAATCTAATGTGTAGTATGAGAACTAGAATCAGAGTCTGATCTTCAGACGGTCTTGACATTCTTCTGTTTAGAATTATCAGTCCGACTTTTTTTGAGAGAATCCTCAGAGCAAAGATATTCTAATCTTTTATTATCAGAATCATCCATCTGCGTGTCAAGCTTTCTTTGAACATAAGTTTATTTTTCAGAAGGTCAATATTTTATGAATTTCTGAGAAGCTATGTGATAGAGAGAGTTAACTATCATTGCTTAACGTCTTTTGAAATCTCTGTTTTCTTGAACGAATTGCAGAATTTGTTCTAATACAAATATTATCAAACTTTGACGATTTTGACTGACAATCTTGTTCTTGCAATGCTGACCTAACTTATTTAGAGTTAGTTCTCTGATCATACTTCAGATGAATCAATGAGCATTCTTTCCTCAACAATGTCTTGACTTCTACAACGTCTCTTTTGACATAATCAATGATTAGATCTTCTGCATAAGATCTTTTGTCTGCTTGAATATACGTTTTATCACGAGGTTCTTATATATCATAAGATGATAGTCTTTTTTCTTTTGAAAAGATTCCTAATGAGGTCTTATGAGAAAGTCAAAGGTGGACTAATTCTTTTCTTGAAAACATCTCATATGTCTCAATGGAACTTAATCAAAATCATTCAACAGATATAACTTCTTATCTGATGAATCTTTTCCTATTAGCTTGTTCTTCAATTTTCTGGATTTAGACAGTAGTTGAAAATTGAATAACTATCACCTTAGAGTATTTCTTCACAAAGCATCTGGATCTTTATCTGACACTGTTAGGTGTTTGAATATCTATCAATAACAAAACCGGGCTCAGATACCAATTGAAGATGTGAAGAAAATGCAAGAAAAGGGGGAGGGGTTAAATTGGGTTTTCCTTTCTTGTAGAACTTTTGCTTCTAAGCATTATTCGTTGAACAATGCTTTTGATTGTTGCTTCTATTTGATGCTTCCAATTTGGTTCAGAAAACATAAACTCTAAAGCATAAGCAAAAGTAAAGAACACGCGATATATCCTGGTTCACTTGAGAAACCCCTAAGTTAATACAGTTCACCCTTCTGAGGTGATTTCGCCTTAAACTCAAGGACTTAATCCACTATAATCAATCTGATTACAATCGCACGGGCAACCGACAATGACTAATATCCAGTGAAATATTCAGGGATCCAAACCAGATATAACATTCATTGACCCAACATAATCCGATTCTCCAGAATCTCCTATCAGGATTTCTTTCCAATGATATCCATCAGTGACCTCAGAAGACTGACATTCACTCATTCCCCTTTGAGGTATGACTACCATTGACCCAATAAAATTCACTACCAGGATTTCATCTACGATGGCCACAACCAAAGTCTTCTGGTCTTCACTCGATCACTTGAGATGCCAACCAATTCTAAACAGAATGGTTTTTCTGAAGATTATATGAGTGCTTCTTATCAAGTAGATTACTCTTAATTTAAGTACATATTGTTTGACACGATTCTGAGCAAAAACTCTTGTGGGCAAATAATTTACATGAAGATCTTAAGAAATAACACAATCTGAGCAGCAACTCTTGTGTTTTACGTATTTCTACAAAGATGAATCTAATCTAAAATAAGTGCTACATCTTATAGTCTTCTTGTCTTCATCTTCTTTGTTGAGCAAGTTATGAGCAACAACTCCTTATTTCTTCACAACTCCGTCAAGATGTAAATGATTGGTGATTTGAATTACATCTTGAAGAATTCTTCATCTTTATCTTCTTTCTTCATTAAGTAAGATACAAGCAACAACTCCTTGCTTCTTCATGATTCTTCTAATATGTATATAGTTGGTAAATTGAATAACACCTTATAGAATTCTTCATATTGTTATAGTAGATGATTGCTTCGATTTGGTTGTGTTCTAATAGTGATAGATTTTCTTTTTAACTTGAACATAAGCAACCTGTGATTTACAACTTGCAGCTTTTAGCACCCAGCCAAGCAGCCTATGGCAAGCTCATCAATATTTAGCATCATGTGTTGAGCAATAACTAACCAACCATCAATTTTAAACATACGATTATTTTCTTATATATCCAAGAAAAATAGATTCGTTGGCTATTTGAAAAAGAGTCATTACAAATAGTACTACGACGTCCTTATCTCTTCCACACTTTAAGTTAGTGGATAGGTAGTTGTATAAAGCTTTTTGTACTTTGTACTATTGTACTTGTACTATGTTACCATTACATTCTTTCCTTCTGCACTTCAGAGGCTTCTGCAAGCATGATATTAGAAGTGGAACATAATATAAGGTCTTCAGAACTTCAAGTTTTTAGAGTCTTCAGAATTGTGTCTTCAGAGTCTTTAGCACTTGGTCGTGAGAACCCATTGTAGCAAACTGTAGCAATTGGATTTTTAATCAGAGCCACCACTATTAGTTTTTATCCTAGGGAAGGGAATCTAATAGAAAACCCTAATTCGCAGACAGAGATTCTAGGTTTCAGACTCTTATTAGACGAAAGAAAGGTGTTAGGCACCTTTCATCTACCTTGTTCACAAGGATATTAGGTTTTAGGTTTAAGTTCGGGTAGAAGAGGGTTTTAAATTTTAATTAGAATGAAGGGTTTAATTTTTATAGGGGAACAGTTTAAATTTTTTATAAGGGAACTCACTACGATTTTTGATCGTATGCCTACGTATCCTCTTATGAGGAATCAGAGTCCCAATTCGTAGTTCGTAGGGGTTTGTGTTTTTTAGGGGTTGCAAACGTACTTTGACTCACCTCGCATTTTGGCCGAGAGTAGTGATTGCGGAGATTTTGGCTAAATGCGCAGTAAGTCAAAATCTGCTTGAAACACTTTTGCAAAAATAGTTGTTTAGATTAGTTGATTGCGAAAAAAAGTTTGATATTTGTTGAGTGTTTTTTATAGATATTAATTGCAAAAATTCTTATTAATGCATGATATAAAAAATATTTAATGAAAAAAATATGCAATTTTTTGATGTAAAAATAATTTAAGTGATATAATAAATAATATTCACAATAAAAATTAATAATTAAAAAAATAATTACAAAAATAAGAAAATAAAGGAAAACGAACAAAATAATTTATGAACAGGGCGGTTGCATCTTCTGGTTGTTAAGCCCTAGCGGAAATTTTGGAAAAGAGATGTTCTGAAAGGGACAGAAGTTCTACAGGGGATGCAGGGAAATTGATTGGGTTTTAGCCTCAGTCATAGAAATTCTGAAAAGGTACGCTGTAAGCTAGTTAGCAAAGTCAGAAAATAGGGACGTCAAATTCTGGGCTAAGCCCACTACTCAGAATTTCTGGAAAAGGGAAGACAAAAAGTATAAGTCTAATGCTAATTCAGGACAAGGAAAAAAATGTGAAACCTGGGTTAAGCCTAGTCAGGACTTCTAAAAGGGGAACTGCATCTAAACGTAAGAAATTAGCGTGAACATATGCAATCAGATTATAAGACTATCTACAAATCTGTTTTCTATGGTTTCAGCCCTG